CCACACACACTGCTCCCATGGAATTGATCACCACTGTGTGTGCATTACATCTGTATCTATCTGTATCCCATCCCCTTCTCAATGTTATAGAACACATTGCACTGAGTCGCCTTCATTTCGAACGGAATGAGCAACAAAAACTTGACAGCAGTGAAAAGAGGGGGAAAACATTTTCCACTTGCATTGTTTCTCACTGGATGATGATGCCCCACTTTGTTCTGTTCTGTTCTGTTCGTGAGTGAGTGTGCGTGCCGCATAAATTTCATTTTGAACAATAATAAGAAAAGTTGGGTGCCGTTGGCCTGCGGCCCAAGCTTCCAGTCAGATCAAAATCACACAAGAAAAGCCAGAAAAAAAACGCCAACAATGGCTGGCAAAAAGTGTGTTTTTGTGTGTGCATTAAATAACAAAAACACCGAACAAAAGTGTGGCGCAAACAAAAAAAAAATGGCAAGAAGGGCTGAGAAGGGCGGGTGACATCAGGCCAGGGCCATGTTACGTATACGCACCATTGAGCGGCCAAATCGCATTACGCATACGCCATGTGGTCCGTGCAACCTGTGTGTGTGTGTGCAAAAACACAAAAAAGAATCGGATTCGAGCAGCTTAATTACAGCCCACCAGCAGCAGCAGAAGTGACCTACATCGATTCGGCATCGACAGGAGCGTCACAATTATGCAGGACTCCCCGGATGGCAATATGCAAAGGATTGGATTGGATTGAGTTTCGCATGGATGGGACCACCTGACGTCATTTGCATTCTGCTGTTGCCGCTGCAACTACGTGACCTGCCTCCACGTGAGACACTTTGACACTTGAATAGAGCTAAAGCCGGAGCTCGAGCTGGGGAAATACCCGGGATAACTCTGTCTTCGGCTCTGCGGCCACGTCATGGCCCTAAGCCAATTAGGAGGAACAATGGCCATCACATCTAACGCCACCACGTGTTGCTCGGCCATAAACAATTTATGAACGAATTCTTCCACAGAAAAAATCACCATTAAGGTTAAAGTAAACGTAAACACTGAATACACACGAAAGGCATAAAATAAATCGGAGAAGCTCATCCGGGGGATTTCACTTACAGTTTTTCGCTGATCATCAGCGTCGACATCATGATGAGCGTGCCAAGAAAAAAGCGAAGCGGTTTATTGCGTATTTTTAGGTCAGAGCAAACAGCAAACAGAAAACGGCAAACAGGGGATTCAATATGAAGCATCTTCTTACCTCGCTGCATGTTTACCCCACTGTCTGTTTGCCTTTAATCGCATCTGCAATGAGTTTTCCTTTGAGTTTGATGAGTTTGCTCGCCCGGGGCCAGCAGCCGAATTTCCATATCAATTAGCAGCCCTCGCTCCGATCGAACCTTTCCGCCTGTTTGCCCAGCGCCGCCATCGAAGTGTGTCCGTATCCCTGTTGTCCCTATATATATCTGTATCTGTATCTGCATCTGTATCTGAATCTGTCCAAATAAAAACCTAATGAAATCCGATTTTCCGTGCCACTTTATGGCTTTGCCCGCCATTCGGTTACTGGCCCGCCAAGCAAAGTAACTTTCCAGGGAGGCCACAGGACATGTTGCTTCGACGGCACTTGGTAGCAAAGTTTGTCTTTTTCTTAAGGTTCAATTTTAAAGCATTTGTATACATTTCTAACAAGTTTCAAAGCAATGGAAAAAGTCACAAAACATTCTTTAATAAATGACTCTTTTATTAGTTAAAAAATAATTTAGAAAATTATTTGCAACCAATTTTGTGAAACATTAAAAATAATACTCAAAACTCATATTTGAAATTTTGATTTATTTGTTGGCAAGTTTTAAAAATTATAACAAAAACAAGCATTAAGTTTTCACTGCAATTTTTAAAATCCCTTACTTATTTTTGATGTGTAAAATTAATAGGCATTTAGCAAGACTGAATGAATCTCACCTTGTTTAGACAGTATAAAATGTATTTCTTCTATGTTTTCCACATCACATTGAATTATTTCACCTTTGTTGTAGCCGAGTGTAATCGACTCGTTGGCAGGTTGTTTGCCAAGGGGGCTCTCTGAAAATGGGGGTGTGTGCCACACTTGGCTGGCCACATCATCTTTTCGGGGCCACAGTGCTTGCCACCAAATGGCCGCACTAACGGGTAAGCGGCTCCGGGTTAGTGGCCAGGTGGTCAGGTGGTCAGGTGGCCAGCTCGTAGTTTGAACGGGTTCAGCTGGCCTTCCAACTGGCCATAGGCCAAATTGCACTCGCCCCGATGCCGATAAAGTTCTAATGAGAGGTAATCCACGTTCGGTTGCATATGGGGGCACTGGAGGTACTGCCTTTGGTGGAGAGGTGAATGTGTTACAATTTAGGCCAGCCTGGTTTTTCTGGCTTTGCAGCTACCGCTCTTTAAATTCAATTTGCCTTTGTGAAGTCAGATGGCCTAAAAAGCCGAGCGCTGAGGTGAGAACTGCATGACTTTGCATATGGTTATTAAAACTATCAGTGGACAGCGTGTCATGAATAATGCCCCAGCACATTTGGCCAAATTAAAAGGATCAAATTTAATATGGCCAAAGGATAGTTGGATTTTCTTCACCTTCGTTTGACGGTTCATCCAACTTTTTATTACATCAACCAAATCCAATTAAGAGCAGCTACTAGCTATAAAGTTACTTAGTTTGCCATGTAAAAAATGCACCTGCAAACCCAATTAAAAGGACTTGTAGTTTCACCCGAAATTCAACTGAACCAAATTGGATTACTCAGAGTTGAAAATATTTTAAAAATACAAAATTCATGCGAGAGCCGTTGATGCACGAAAATTGTGGTCATTGTCAAACTTGTCAATTTAAAAATAAAAAGCAGACCTAAATTTAGAATTCTCCCGAAAACCAATTATTGGCGTGCGTTTTTGATCTCTTTTTTGCCACACTCTGTGAAAATATTAAAATTGAATATTTAATGGAAATTCGAAAAGCAGTAAAGAAGGAAAGCCGCAATGTGAGGTTATCGAGTAGTATCGTGCTTTTATTCTGCTGTTTATTTATATTTATGATGCTGCGGATCCCGTTTTTATTTCCCTTTTTTCGCCAGCTTGTTTTCCATGCTCATTTATGCATCTGCCACTTGTGGCTCAATCGAATTGCCGTTATTGTAGCATCAAATTGGGGGTTATTCCCCCAACAAACTTACAATTTCCGTTGGCTATTCACACAATTTGAGAGTCGAGTTTTTGTGCTCTTCCAGCTGCTTATGTTGTTGCCATGTTGTTCCCGTTCTGACCCAATATTTTCAGCTCCAATAAACAGGGTTACTTGTGTGGCTTAGCAGTCGATTGCCTATCACTTTTGTATGAGTGCTGTGTAAATTCGGAGAAAATGTTTATAGATACCATGTGCAGTTGCATCGGCGAATACGTTAGCATACTTTTATGGGCAGCAGCTGCTGCAGGGCGGCGGAAATGCATTTTGGCAAATTTATTTCAGTGATTCGCATTCCATCTACTCGAAAACAAAACACGAGAGCTTAGCAACCACTGCAGCATTTTTGGGGTAAAATATGCAAACTGTTTGGTAATTATTATGTGCGAATCCAACTAGCTAACTTGTCGGCGTGGTATTTTCCATTTCCCATCCGACTTTCATGCAGATTTTTATACAGTATCAGGAACTGGGCTGATTTATGAACATAGTCAGAGTCTATGAATTATCTGTGCTTCCACTCCCATTTAAATCTCTCGTATTTCCTTCAGTTCGTTTCCTGCGGTTTCAGGTTTTCTTCGTGGCTCGTAATGCAATGCTTTTCCTTCTCTAATTGGTTGTCAACTTAACGAGGGAAATTGTACATTTAACATTCATCTCTATAGCTTTCTAGTTAGTTAATAAAGAAGGAATTGCAAAAATGGTTTACAAAGAAACAAAGGGAGAGTTAACATTGTTTGGCTTTAAGCCAACTAGAGAACAACCTTTAAAATTCCTTATATTATTTTTAAGAAGCAGTAAGTTACTGTTTGTTTTATTAACAATTTGTAATGATTCAGATGCTCTTTTGCGCAGCTCTAAAAATAATTCAACTGTCAGAAAGATAATTGTAAAATCGTTCATTCCCGTACTTTTTCCTAAAAATTCTCACTAATTGAGTTGTCATTTAATCTATGACGTATACACCGGTGGTATCTTGTTTACCAACAGAGATACGTCTTTATCGCCGCAAATGAGGCATTGCGATTCACGGAAAACATCTGCTTCAACTCACGCGATTCATTTATATTGAGAAGACTTTTTAAGCAATTGCCTCAGTGCAAATCCAACGGGCAGAGAAAAAGGATCCAGTCGGAAAATTATTTCGATTTAGCAGAGGGTTAGTTATGGCTGAAGAAGCAGCGTGAAAACAGTGTGCCTTAGAATATTAAAATGCTAAAGTGCTTAGCCATTGTGTTTTGGTGTCGAACAAGTTTTTCCGCTCGGAAAAGCTTAGCGAACCCCACCACAGTGGGTTATGGCTGGCAGATTTCGACGTGCCCGGTTACTACAAGAAAAAAAACAACAAAAAAAAAATAATAAATAAAGAAATGCGGAATGGGAAATAAAAGGCAAAACAGAAAGCCAACGAAAGTAATTCAAAAGTTTGCCACAGAGCAGAGCAGGCAACAAAAGCCAAGAAAAATTGAACTCAACTTGATGTCTAATTTAAAATAAACCCCAAAAACCAAGCCAAGCCGAGCCGAGCCAAGCCAGATCCTGATCCCGATCCCAGAAGCCAGAAGCCAAAACAAAACCGCAACAAAATTTACAACTTCAAAACTTTGCCAACGGCGGTTGTCCTGCCCGATGTGTGTTTGAGTTTCAGTTTGAGTTTTTCGAGTGGGTTTCAAGGGGGGTTTTCCTATTTGCTCGGACAGATGGATGGGGTTGGGTCAAGTACATAATTGAGATTGAGCTGGAAAAACAACAGCAACAGAAAAAAAGTTGAGTCGGGAGAAACTAATGCACAGTCCTTGCTTGCTGCCAATTGCAGAACCGCCGGCGAACCGAAGGAGATGAATCGAACTGCGCTGTCCACTGGCAGCTCCAGCCGCAAGCTTCCGGCGCTCTTGTTTGGCCTTCTGCTCTGCCTGCTCCTGTTGGCCCAGACCGCCCAGACCACCCAGACCGCTCGCACTTCCTCGGAGGATGAGAGCGACTTGGCCGTCATTCCGCCGGATGCCGACAATGTGGAGGTTTGTCGCGAGTCGAGCGTGAAATCCAATCCGGCACTCTGCAACTCTGAATTTCTTTCTCCCCTTTTTCTCCCCGGCAGATCCATCAGGTTAGAATCGTGGACGGCGTCCTGCAGGAGGACCATCCGGTGATCATGTACAAGGAGGACTTTGTCAGCGAGGATTATGGTGAGGCCTTACACACATAAATTATAAAATACGGGTACATTTCATAGTAAAGAACTAGAAAGCAAGTTAGGCTATGTTATATTCATATATTCATATCACTTTTTCAAGCATACAAATCGAAACATACTTAATTTTTATTTCCTTTGGGGTTTTGATTGCATCAAAAAAAAAACCATGCTAATCAAGAATATATCCACATTGTAGAAAGTTTAACCTTAAAATTAATCTAAATGCAAAATATTCAGAATTGTTATATCGAGTTGTATGTTTTATATTTTCATTTCAAAGTAATTGATATTTAGGCCATTTAAAAACCTAAAAAATACAGTTAACATTTTAATTTCCCCCGCAGATCCCACTAAGAACGAAACCAATCCAGGTCGCCACAAGAAGCACAGGAGGACCCACCACCATCGCGCGGAGCCACAGCAGGAAAGTGAGGACGACAAGATCCTTTTCGACATCCTGCCGGACAAGCCGATCGTGTTGTCCGATGACCTGAAGGCTCTGCCGAAGAGCAACGTGGAGGCCGCCCAGCTGGCGGAGCCCATCAAGGAGCCCCTCAAGGAGGAGTGGCTGGGGAAATACCCCAAGAAGGTCCACAGTCGCCAACGCAGACAGGCTCAAAATGCTTACGAACCAGTCTATGAATATTACCGTGAAAACCCGAAGTTGAACTACCTAAGCTTCTTAATCTACAAGCGGTAAGAGTAAATAATAACTTATAAAATAATAATGAAATAATGAGTGTTCATTTTGTTTTTTTAGACCCATAGCGCCTGGTAAGGCGCCACCTAAGCTCCAACCGGTCAACCAGTCAAACAATATTTTCCGTCAGGACACTGTTCCGCAACCCGATTTCGTTGGCAACCGCGATGACTTCAATAGTATAATTCACAATTCAGATCCAAACATCGCGGATTTCTCCATATATACGAGCACAACCAAGAGGCCACCGTTTGTGATCATGGAAAGCGAGCCAGGTGGGTTGAAAATAAAAAAACGTGTTTGAATAGCACAATAAAATAATATAAAAGTATTTCTTAGATGGCATAATAAATGCTATCTCACCCAATCAGTTATAGTTGTTTAGTTACTTAATTAGTTAATTGCATTTTAACACTTTCAGTGACGAGAAAACCAATCGGCAGCAACAGCTGGGGCAATGGCCTAAATGGCTGGGGAGGTAGGTTATATCTTTCAATTATATATCCTCCCAAGCACTCACAACCCATTAAAAAAGTATATAACAAAGGGCTTCGCCAGCTAACCTCATCACCCACAAACCACTCAAAGCCATCTAAAACCATCTAAAACCATCCACAAGCAGCTGCCTCTGACTGTCGCTTTATCTTTTACTCGACCTGACCAACTGCCATCTTTGTGAATTGATAGGGAGCGGAAGCGCGGCGAGTGGCTCGCGGCCACAAAGGCCGCCCACCCGGAGGCCCATGGTGGGACTCCCGACGGTGCGTCCCGAGGCGGGACAGGTCCGCCCACCAGCCGTAGACAGCCAAACCACCAGCAGCGGCAACAGCGAACCGAAGGTCAGCAAGTGCGTGTGGGCGATCGTGAACTGCTGCACCAGCGACAGCCAGAAAGTGCGGTACAGCTGCTTCGAGGAGTTCGGCTGCCACGGAGCCTTCTGGGACATCAATCCCTGTGCGGATCAGGTTGTCCGCGACGGTGCGTTTGCCAAGGTGTGGCGTGGTTACGCCTGATGACCGGCGGATCGGCGGTCCACCCATCGAAGATGCCGGTGTTCTCGGTGCTGATTTAGCTTAAACTTAGCACTGTCTCTCCAAAGCAAACTTAACTTATGCTACGCATACTAGGTGTTAACCCCCTGTAAATATGTTGAAACGAGGAGGTTGGCGCTGCCTTTCCAACTCTTCCATAACAATATCTCAACACCATAGCTGTACCATTAATAAATCTGCCATGAACAAACCGTTTGATGCTTATGATTACCTGTATGCTGAATAATCCAAAAGATTAATCTTGTTACTCGCTGGCTCAGGGGTCTCCTTTAAGTGTTAACAAAGTTAAATGGCTTAAAGTTTGGATAACTAACACTTTTAATAATACATTGAAGATAATGTATTGTATTTTGTACCTATTAAACAACAATAATTAATTTAAATGTGAGTAGCGGGTTACTTTAACACAATTCTTTATTTTCCTTTAATACAAGCTTCCATGGTTAAGGACACAATAACCAACAAACAACAAGTTGCAGCTCACACATGGTTTGGTTTCCAATTACTAAATACTGCCTCTGCTGTGTCGTCAATTACCGCATCGATTTCATTCCATCCGAAAAACCAAATTAAAATTTTCCAATTTACTCGAACGACTTAAATATGTTTGTTTAATTGGTTGCCAATCGAGTGTCCAGACATGTAATGCGCTCACAATTCAATTGCAATTACACAATCCCTTCAGCCATATCAATTAACCAGCTGCCAGGAGGCCACCATCCACCCACTGGCCACTGGCCATTGATGGTCTATCTTTTAATTGGCCGTCTATAACATGCCGCAGAACCCAATTTACACCTGCAAATCCAATTGCTGGCTCCTCTGGCTGCGGTTGCTCAGCTGGAGGATGTAATTATCTTGTTCATCCATAATTGGCACATATACAAACTGAGAGAAAATTACACTTAAATAGTGAGCTTATCTAAGCTTCAAAATAACCTAAGTATCATTGCAAAAACAATGGAGTTGCCACAGGAATCTCTGGGGAATGGAAACCACTTTAAAAGGTTTCTAAGAGAATGCTTTTAAAATCAATGCATTGTGTTTTGGCATTTATCCTTAGTACTTCTAGGCTCAAAACACATTGAGGTTTCAAAATCTCTTGAGATTTGGGTGACACTTTTGCAAAAATATAATTTCAAAATTAAAACTTTATCTAAAATCAGTAAGTAAACTAACTGATGAGGAAATGTACTAAGCCCTTCATTTGTTGTGCTTGTCACTAATATTAAATTGCAGTGCAGTTGCCGCATGTTGTTCATTAGGGAACAAAGTCCGGTCCACTGTTCATTAATTAAGTGGACAACGGACGCACTCAGTTGGTGGAAGTGCACACAAACATAACCGAACACAAACCCGCAGAATTCCGCAGAACGCTGCACCCACTAACTTGCACTTTAGCACCATGGTTTACATGCTGACGCCTCTTAATTGCAGCGGATCTCGTGCCCTTAGCCGGATTCTCGCCCCCGGGCCTCGCCTCCGCGCCCCCCACCCGTCGTCCCCCCTCCTCCTCCAGGATAGGTAAGCCGACGCCTCTGCGGCTTTTAGACCGCACGCCCACTGACCAGTCCCACATCCTCCGCAGACTCCTTGCAATTTCCCCAGGAGCTGGGCTACCAGGAGGGCAGCCAGTGCCAGAGGGCCTCTAAGTACTGCTGCTCCCAGAAGAGCATCGGATCCCAGTACGACTGCTTCCACCACTACGGCTGCCCCGAGAGCATCTCGGCCGTAATCTCCAGCTGCTCCTAGGACTCGCAGGATGCTGGATAAGTCCTGAAATGGACTGAGTCTAAACAATCATTGCGACAAGAGCCTCGCGTTTTTACAGCCCTTTTTGCAGCATTAGGGTTCCCAGATTAATCTCGAACTATGTATAATATCACTTCTAGTCGGCTTTGCCCATGAGGCTGGTCCTAATTAATAAAGATTTTTCTGTACTAAACTAACAAACGTAATTTGATTAGTGTGTAATGGAATTAATTATTTGAAAAGGTATGTATTTCCATTTGAAATTCTTAAAAACTTAACTTAAAGAGTACAGCTTTAGACATTGGAATCTTAAAGACCACATAATTAAAACAAGTTATTTAAAGAGCTGTGAAATAATTTAAATTAAAAGTCCCTCTTATCTTACTAGCCAGAAAATTTCCATTTGATGATATATAATATAATTCTTTTTTAAACTCTTTGCAAGGGCTAGTTAATCAAAAAACCTCCAAAATAAGTGAAAGTAAAGTACCACTTTTCTAATAAACCACACAATTGCTTGTTAACGAATGCAAATTTTCGTTATTTAACTCATTGCATTTCAGCACTGAATTGTAGACTAAACTTACTTCCGAACCAATGATTGTTTAAATTGAAGTTCCTCTTCTTTCTCGATTCACTTCTTTTCTATTTCGAGCTTAAGTCCTTCAGCCCAACACCTCTCGAGAAAGCGTCCTGGGAAACAATCCAAAGCAGGACGGCGACAGCCTGACAACAAATCTCCGCTGAGTTAATTTGCCAGCCTAATGTCATTTCCCCCGACATTCAAGGACCCAATCGCAGGACGTAAGGCGATTACGCAGTGGTCCGTCCACTGCCCCTTTTCGAATTGTGTTTAGCTGAATGGATCTGCGTTCGCTATTCTTCAGTGAATTGCGGGAGGCGCTCTACTACACTAAAACATAAATTATTTTTAGGAGGCTCTCATCACTAATTTGGTTTCCAAAAAAAAAAAACATTAAAAACGCTACATTTATAGAGACCCTAAATATTAATCCATTGATCATGGATTACACAAAAATTCACTTTTGTTATATTTTCAAATGGTTATATTTTCAAATTGAACTATTTTGTTGAGAAGGTTTCTATTTCTATTTTTAGTACATTCTTCCTTTTTAAAATTTAAAAGAAAGAGCGGTCGGCTTAACTTACTTCTTAGGCTTTCAACCATTTATCATCAAGTCTTAAGACAGCCATCATAGCTTAGTATTTAATGTTTTGACAGTTTCTTTCTTTCAGTTTCCTTCCATATCAGAAATTCAGTATAAACACTGTAACTTGCAAGGGAAATCGGTCAAAAAATAAAAAATTAACTAATGATAACTAATGTATTCTTGTTTTGTAACATTATTTTTGCTCTGGTAAAGAACAGACAGAAGACCTGCTGTGAACTGGCCGCGAAACCCACTTATCATCTTGGCAGAGAAAGGAGTCACAGCATTAGATTCTAAATTTAAAAATAGTTAATTGACTAGACTCGCATCTAAGACTAACAAGACATGTCCAAAATGTGCAAATTATTCTGTATAAACCTAGGGAATAGTTATACGTAATATATTTATGTGTAAATTTTCAAACTTAAGGGGTCGAGAAAGAAATCTGAAAAGTGGTCACCTACTACTGGCAACTGCAACTGGAATTTAAAAGTGAATTAACATTTTCTACCAGTAAGTTTTATATTATATATTATATATTATATATTATATATTATATATTATATATTATATATTATATATTATATATTATATATTATATATTATATATTATATATTATATATTATATATTATATATTATATATTATATATTATATATTATTCGATCTTTCCTATGGCAGCTATATTATACAGAAATCTGAGCTTGATTAAATTTAATTCGAAATTCAATAGTAATCATGAAACACAATTTGGGATTAATCAAGTAAACAATTTTTTTCTGTTATTTTTTCGATCTCTCCTATGGTGCAAAAACTCGAAAACTTTTGGTAAAAGTTCAGAAAAAAAAAACTGAGAGACTAGTCCCACTGTGCGGAGTACTCACCGCTGCCACTGTCGTAGGATCTGGTGGTGGAGCCGCTGGTATTGGAGCGCTTTATCTCGCGTCGACCCATTTTGTTTGCGGTTGGCGACGGGTCCTCCGGGTTTTGCTGGCGATGCTGGTGCTTCGGGTGATTCGTGTGATTCGGGTGCTGCTGGTGCTGCTGGTTGCGGGGTGATTCCGGTGTATCGGAGTCCCGGGGCACGTGGCACGTGGCAAGGAGCGCACAGGCGGTGGAGGCAGCCGCTTTGGCAACCGCCGAGCTGTACTGGCCACCAACTGTGGTGCTGTTGGGGTGGGGCAACTGTTGCTGCTGCTGCTGCTGCTGTTGCTGTTGGTGGTGCTGCAAGTTCAGCGAGGGCGTGGAGACGGTGGTGCGGCCACTGTGGTGCAACAACGCCTGCCCGGGAACGGTGGGCGGGAACTCGAAGTAGTTGGCCTGCAGCTGATTGCCGAGCAAATTGATGGCCGGCTTGGTGGCCAAACCGCTCGAGTTTTCCGCGTGGCTGGTGTGACTGGAGCTACTGCTTCGCCTGTGCTGGTGGTTCTGGTACTGCGGATGCGGATGCGAATGGTGGTGCTGTGTGTGCTGATGCGGATGCGGATACGGATGCGGATGTTGGGAGTGAGGCGGAGTGCTGCTGGTGCTGCTGCTGCCGGCGGGATTGGTTGCAACTTGGTGCGGCGTGGGCGGCGGCGGGGGGCAGGCGTTGCTGATGCTCCCGCTGCTGGTGGAGGATGATTTGCGCAGTGACGATGGTCTCAACCCTTTGACAGGGTACAATGGGTACTATCGTCCGGCAACGCGTACCCAATCGCGGTGGTCACTGTTGTACCAAATGCCTAAAAACAAACAGAGGAGAGGAAAACGTTAATGATAATTGATTGCTTTTCTTGTTTTCGTTTTCTTTTGGGCCATAAACCTTCTTTGGGAAGACTTAAAAAGCTTTAACGTGTTACCTTGATAAACTGATAAATGAGGTTGAGTATTGAAAATATTTTTAAATTCTTAATGGTTTAATTTTTATCTTCGTAAAGCTCATTTGCCCTTGAACTTCTTTATTGCTTTCGAATAAAAATAAAAAGAAACTCTTATAATGATTTCGAATGATATACTATACTTAGCAATTACAAATTAAGTAAAATTAATAAAAGGAAGGTATATTTATATTTCATTTGCTTTATTTAGAATTTATATGCCAAACAATATATACAGAAATAGAAAATGTATACGCATTAGCGAAGATTTACATTTTTAGGCGAAATAATTATAAAAGACGGCTTGGTAAAATCTATATTAAATGGGACAAAGTAGTAAAGTCAAAGAAATAGATCATCAGAGGATTAATGACCAATGGGAAAGTAAAATAGTCCCTTAAAAATCAATTCAACCAAAAGTTAACGTTCGACCCAATTTTTTCGCGTGTGCCACAAAGACAACACCCAAAGTGGTGGAAAAACGTGGCTGGGTAATCGTTATTGTAGTCCATCGATAAGCGGACATTAACTGCATGCACACACACATACAATCGCACACACACACACAGACACACGCACGAAGGACGAGGTCAAAGTGCACTTAAAGGCAACTCCAGTGCGGACGCGTGTCCTGCATGACAACGCAGATTGCGCATACGCCCCGTTAATGTCCGCCATTAGCAACGCCATTTGGGACAGCACGGCCATCGTCGGCGTCAATTTTGCCAAATATTTGGCACATGAAATCATTTTGTGCTAATAAAATTTAACGCCCCATGGGCGGTCGTTCCATTGATTTCCTGTAAAACGACAGGCCGCAAAAACTGACCACACATTTTGCTCCTTCCTCTTTCCACAAAACAAAAAAAAAAAACGACCGCATAGTAATCGCTTCTAATGGCTGGGCATTAAGATTCACAGAGAAATGCCATTAATATCTATGTTCCACTCGTAAGTGCCAAGGATTAGCAGGGGATTGGCAATCAAAATTGATTAAGTCGCCACAACAATTGAAAATTTAATGAGGCGAACTCGGGAAAGAGTCCTCGCTCCACAAGAAAAACTAATTAGGGCACGACAATGGGGGAGATGTCAAATAAATAAATTTGTTTGCCCAGCTGGAAACTGATTTTTACTGAACTCAACTGAGTAAAGTGCACTTTGTATGCTTCTGCTGTTCCTGCTCAAAGATCAAACATGACGAATCATCCAGCAGTCAATAGAATCAATGCATATTGAATTAGGTGCAGCAATTGACGAGGCATCCGCATCCATCCACATCGACGTGTAGATCCACATCCCAGGTTGCCTGGCGACAGTTCAACAGGTTGCGAGAAGTCCCCGCCGAAGGTAAAATCAATTGATTAACTGGGCCAGCATCAAATCGAGTCAGCGCTACTTCATGTGGGCCATGCAAATGAAATTGCAGTTGCATCGGGGCAGGGGCAGTATTAAATTATGGCCTGCAAGCCTGGAAGTCCCAGGTGGCAAATCAGCACAGAGCAAATAAGGCAGATGCTTGCTGCTCGCTCAAAGGCCAAATGCAATTTAACTTAATGGGATTCCTCGGAAGAGGGAGATCCCCTCCCCCTCCTCATCATCATCCTCCTTCTCCACCTCGATGGTCAGCACCAGCTGGCGGATCCCTGTCAGTGTTTGTCAGCCAACACACAAAGTAGATCCTGGCGACACAATTGCTGCTGTCCTTCGCCTGCTCATTTCCCGCCTTCACGTGTCCCTGTTTTCTTTTGGCACTCTGCTCTGCTTCCCAGGGAGTTGTTGCTGCCTCCTTTGTTGGCCCTGAATTCGAGCAATTCTCATTTAAAATCACCGAACAATGCGTTGAAATTTACAATACCAATAGCTTAGAAACGGACAAGCTTCGTACAAAGGTAAAACTGCACTCTAACAGGGAAAACTTCATAAAAAAAAACGTTTTATCTTATGAGTTATTTGAATTTTATTATATATATGTATCTATACTTGTATTATACATATATATATATATATATATATATATATATATATATATATATATATATATATATATATATATATATCTATATATAAAATACATGAATATCTTCTTTTTATTATTTATTATTTTTATAGGTCCCTATTAAATTATGATTATGTTTGTCCTTTCATTTTTTTAAATTGAATGTATCTATTTTAAAAGTTATTGAAGTAAAAAGTTTTTTTTTGTCATACAAAGTTACCTTTATCATCACCTATGATTTTTGTTGTAGCAATTTGCCTTTATGAATACACCAAAAACTAATCTCATTTGCATAAAAATGTGTAACAGCCATTAGGAAAATCCCTCTAAGAAACATTTTAATAATTGCTAAACAAAGCTCGGAGCGATTCACCTGAACATCAAGCATATTATGTGATTTGGCAATGTGCACGTTCCTTCTCCAACTCGAAAGGAAAGAAAAAAGAGCTGCGATGGTTTGGTTTTCAGAGGAGGCAGCTCCTTCCTTCTTCTTCAACATGTTGCGTGTAATCGGCCTCGATGCGAATTACCATAATACGACACCAGAAAAGGACACATAAAAGGCAGCCGGCTCACAGATACAGTCGTACACAAACACACACTCAAACACACACACACGTGCGGATGGATATCCGTGCCAGTTCGAATGAATCTCAGTTTGCGCCTGGCCAACTGAAGCGTAGACAAGGAACTGTTTGAGTTTTTCCCCCCAATCCGTTCGAGGGACGGATTAAGGCGTCAAATTGTTAGACAAGTTCCTGGCCCGGCTTTTTGTCCGTCGGAGGATAGATCAAAGCCCGCTGCATACTATATATACTGTACTATATACTATATACTATATGCTATACTATATGCACACACACGCACAACCATAAGTATGAATGTGTGTGTGTTGTGCAGCGACGTGGCTTAAGCCCACATCCCCAACAATGCCTTTTAATCAATTCCCCGAGTCGCTCCATCAATAAGCGAAGGCTGCCCGGAAAATGTGAGTTTCCTTTCGGCCTGCCGGCGCGTGCTTTCCCTTTATTTTTGCCATTCGGCGTTTTCCTCTTTTTGTCTGCTGGCTGTATGTCAATTTTTCTAATGAGTTGGCAGAAATAAATAAATAAAGCTCGGACCCTTTTCGGCATTAAATGTATAGAGACCGTTTTTTGCAGTGACCTTGTGATTGAATTATATAAAAAAGACTTAATAAATATAACTTTGACCCTTGGCTGCAATTCATTTTAAAACTGTTTTAATATTTATAGCAGTCTGCATTCGTACAATAAATTGATTTATTGGGGGGAACAAATTAACGACATTTATTTAAAAAGCATGATAAATTGTATATGATGATGTCCATTTCATAAATAAGTTTATACATTATTTGTATACGATAACCTTAATAAAAAAATAATAAAAAAGCTTCGACCCTTGACTAATTTCAACTGTTTTAAAATTAATAAGGTCCCGTATTTGCAAAAGTAATTTGATTGATCGGGAACACAATAAAAATACTTTTTTATAAGCATGATTAATTGAAATAGGTATGCAAGCTTTGGAAATAACTTGGCAGCGCATTTTAAAATGCAGAAATTGAGCTGTATTATAATGTAATGTAAAGTAGTTTCACAGTTTAAAATTAATTTTGCTTAAAAGCCTCTTAAGCAATAACTGAAAATATGACTTGGTCATTAGCTTTGTTTATTTCTGAACACGGATTTAGTTTTATCAGCCCTTAGAGTGCTAATTGGGGAAACAAGCTGGAAGGGATTTAAAAATACAACTTTTATGATGACCGCACCCATGTAGTTTTAAAGCGGTTCTACTTCTAACCGAAGCACTTTACGATCTTTTACGTTCTTTTACGATTTGACCATGCAGTTTTCCCAATGAGCGAGCAGAAATAAACAAACAAAAACCCGGAGCTCTACCTGCATTTAATTTTAAAGCCCCTCGCCAACGAGCGACGAGCGGGGGAAGCTACACTCATGGGGCGCACAGTACGGCTGGCTGACCACAGGCCACACCCTCACACGACACCATTTTAGCCGAGTTTGTTGCTGTGCATTAAATTTGATGGCTGCAAGTCCTCGGCTCATAATCACAGGCAGACGCCCACCTGCGAAAATGGAATTTAATTTGCTAATACGCTCCGTTGAGTGGCAGCGGGGAGGGGCTGATTTCAGAGGGGGATGGATGGATTGGGGGGTTTTTGGGGGGCGATTGGAGGGGGATTGGAGTCAGGTAAGACAGGTGGGTTGGCTATGATGGGTTTTTCGGTAGCGAACGCTTTTTTTGCACTGCCTGCGGCGGGAATTGTTGGAAATACTTTGCAAGTCGTTCCCCTCCACTCCAATCCACTCCACTCCACTCCACTTGGCTTACTCTCGACTAAACTTGGCTTTTACATAGTTGAGCTGGCCTGGCCGCTCGCATAGTTAAGCCAATGTAAACTTTTTTAATTTGCAATAATAATAAAAAATTCCGTTTTTCGGCTGAGGCGCTGCTGGCAGCCAAAGAATTTCGAAAGCCACTACGACCATGTCCCGGCACCGAATAATTCAACAAGTTTTATGTGCCCCGCCTTCCTTTCATCCTTCGCTCCATCGTTCAACATGATGTCCTTGCCACCGTCGCTTCAAAAATATTTGCGGTGGCTGTTTGTGTTTTACGGCACGCTTCTCCCTCTCACTCACACTCACACACACATGAGACACATCCTGTCGAGGGGAAAAAGGACGAGCAGGCGAGGCCGTCTAATCCCCGACCAGTCGCGTTGTTTAAAAACCCATTTTGATTTATGTGAAGAGGAGCGGCGAGGTTGCCTGGCTGTTCAGACACCTGTTCAAAATTTATTAGACTCCCAGCGAACTATCAGCGGTGTTCAACGAGCTGACAATGATGACTACGATGATGATGTATTCACTGGCAGCGGAACTGTCAATTGGCGATAGCGGAATCAAATCAATAATAACACGAACTCAATCAACTGCAAGTCAAAGTTGGCAGTCAGTCAGTCGGTTCTCTGTGCCAATTGCGAGGAAATCGCAATGGCAATCGCAATGGAAATGGAAAACTTAACTGCGGGCTAAACAAATAGTTGCATTGCCTAAGCCAGGAGCTTGACCCGGGATCGCTCAATAATCTGGCGAGCGCTTTCGACTGTTCCATTAGTCGCGCTCCTCCGCCGGCGGCAATTCGAGGGAATCGGTCCTGGCTTTCCCTCTAAACCTTAAATCGACAGAGCCACAGATGACATTGCCTCGGCAGGGGCGTCCCTTTAAAGGGGGCACAATAAAACACCGCCAAGCACGGCCACCTCAAATACTCGAATTATGTTCGAGAAAAGTTCGCATCTTGCCTAAAGTATTTCCGGAATTTCCTATTCCATTTCGGCTACGTCACTGCCAGACGCTCCAAGGGCTCCGCTTTGGAATAAGTCACTGAGATAAAAAGTCAGTCTAAATTAAAGGTTGTTAAATTTGAGAGTATTTGAAATGATAACATATTAACTCAGTTCGCTAGATAATATTTTGAAGAAATAAAATTTCTTCTCATTAAAAAGCGTTCGTAAATAAAATTCTTGTGTATAAGGTTGTGAGAATTGCAATAAAAAATGTATTTTATTTTGGATTGGCTTAAAAAAAACTTCTTAAAATGTACTTATTGCTAACACAAACTATCTTTTTTGGTACTTTTTTGGCACGGTAAGTTAGGAAAT